AGACATTATATTGGTAATTCATATAGTTACAGTTTATTTCTATTATGTATATTTAAATAAAATATATTAAGGGGCATTGAAACGACTGTTAAGAAGCTGAAATGGAAGTGAACTGCTTAAGTTATAATAGATATGGAGAAATTAGTAAATTTGTCGAATCACGGCTCCTTCTTAAAACAGGTCCAAATTTTTTTGTATCGTTCTTTACGACTTGTATGTAGTACCCCAAGAAGAAGAAAGGAAAATTAAGAAGGCGCACAGCCTTGGACCACTCAAAAAACTAAAAAAAACTGATGTAAATGATATTGTCAGGTTCCTGGAAATGGTCCAATAAGCTGACAGAAAAAAAAATTTATACTTAATAACTTTTAAGATATGTACCTGTCAGGAGCTGAACGAGCTGTGGCCTTAATCATGGTGGATGTCTGCATGTCAGTCAGTTTCTTTATACATCTTTGGCCAGGCACAATATTACAAACTTCTAAGGGTAAGTATGTGTGTTTATGTTCCTGCCCAACTTGTAGACATGGCAAATGTGGGTATCTTAGCTTCATTTTATATTTATCTAGGAAGTATTTAGCTACAGTACATTCAACTGTTTGTCCATTTTCTAATTGTAATGGAAATCTGTGATATAAGAATGAAAAAATATATGTTTAACTAACTTTGTTATGAATGTACAATGACAATAAAGATGGTAGTTACTAGTACTGGTAGGTTGGAATATTATTAGCTTATTACCATAACAAATTATTTCAAGCAATAGCAATAACAATTGCATCGTTTTTGTATACAATTAACAAGTAGTACAAAAAAACAACAATGTGAACCAAATCAGTAGTCATTATCATAAATATGATAATAACATACATAGGCAATATAAAAGCATAAAATTTACATAGGCATAATCTCATAAGATTTAAGAACAAATACACATACGATTGCATTTGAGCAGGTCTTCTTGTCACATTACAAACTCTGTACTTTCGTTTCATTGTACCACAATGTGTAATTTCAATTTTCAGGCCTTTTATTTCTTTTGTAAACTTAACTCTTTGAGAGTCTGTCAGTGGTTTTCTTTGGTCATTAATATCTCTAATATCCAACACTTCACACATAAATTCTATAACTGGCTGAGCTTTGTAAAATGCAGTTGCCGACACTAGGAAAAAAAAATATTATTACTGTTTTCCTTAAAAAAAATAATATATAAAGTTGATAATGTTTATACCATCAATGTTCAACATCATTTTCCATTGACTAGGTCTAACAGACTGGTGGAAACCAAACCATACTTCACGACCTCCACCAAGTGGATGATAGTATCCTTCTGGGGATGAAAAAAATGATCTTCCCACTGGTGTATACATCATGGAGGGTAAATGCCTCATCACAACATCCAAAGCAAGAATTGCATCATAAGGTATCTGTCTTGTCCGACCTTCTAGTGCTTCTTCTAATGCAAATAATGACACCTGTAAAGAAAACAATAAGCTTTAAGCAAAGTAGCGTCAGTAAAGGTTTAAATTGTATTAGTATCATAAATGTCTTAAGTAATACAAACCTGCGCAACCCATTTAATAGTCACTCGAAACACTCTATCTTTACCTTCTCCTGGTAAAATAACTTCTAATTCAACTCTATCATTACCAATTGGCAGAGGATCTCTTGTGTATAAATTGTTTCTACCATCAAAAACTGGTTTTAAAGTACCAAATATTTTATTATAACAATGTACCATAGTGTCAACAATGTCTCTATTGACCTGTAAAATATATTTTTAATAAAGGTTAATTCTACACAATTAATTATGTTGAAATGTTCTCAACATACAAGCTATTTGAATTTACCTTTCTTGGACATTTATCTGGTTGAATATTTACATCATAGTGATGTACAAATCCTCTAGGCATGGATATTTGAAAATGATTGGCACGAAGCATAATAGGACGGCCTTCATGACCCAAGTTAGGTCGCCGTGGACAGGTAAGAACATCTGGCATGTCTGGTGTAGGGGCGACAGGCGAAACGAGTGATAAGCCTCCAGTCGCCGTGGCCACGCCAGCAGGAACCGCTCCAGTTGTAGCAGCTACGCTGACAGCACCAGGACTTGTCGCAGTTGCTCCAGGTGTAGCACTCGCAACACCTGTAACTCCTACCGCCCCTGCACTCGCCTCCCCCGCTGGAGCTAAAAGCCATTATGAATCACGTCATTCTTACAGTTTTTTGTTCATATCACATAAGGTTCTATGACAGTTGAACCATAAGAATGTATCAAATTCTATTTAGGACAACCAAACAAAGAAGCTTTCTTCCTAACTCGTGGTCGAATATACATGATGTGAAATTACTTACGTTGACCAACGGGGTACATCTTGAAATATGTTTGTATAAATCAAAATGTATAAAATAAAGTTTATGCAAGTGGTACGTTTGAAATTTTCAAGAATTCATTAAAATAAGTGCCTCTGAACTACTAGTTACTGTAATTTACTACCTAATTCTTAAAATGTGTTTGACAATTGACTTTGTTTAATCATTGTGATAACTGTGAACTGTGAAAATTATGTAACCACAGATAAGAGCATAAAAGTCTATTTTTTGTCTAATCTATAGACAATAACAACAACTAAGACGTAGTTACAAATTCGAAGACAAAACTTTAGCACTGTCTGAAATAGTTTGACGTAACTACGTTGACTCGGATCTAATGGTATTTATATGATAATCAAAAAATTATGACTTAATTCTGTTAGAATATAAAGCTATTAAATGTCAACAGTCCTTACAACAGATGGTGTATAAGGTTTTTTTTAAATTTTGATTTACTTAATGCAATAGACATATCAGCTACTTACTGATTATATGTTTGGGCTAGCCATTCATTCGGAAAGTTACTCCATAATTTTCACCATAAATATCACCTCAAAGAATATATTCTTGAAAATTATAACAGATAAGTATTTATCTACAAACTTTATTCGAATACCACATGCTTAGATCACATGTATCTGCCACCAGTTACTAGTGGTGACAGACAACAAAACATAATTGCACGTACCATAGAAAAGGAACTAGAACATCAAAACAGCGCTAATCGCAAACAAAGTTATATGTTGGTCCTTTTTTCTAATTCCATCATAATGCGTATAAAGTACGTAAATAAAACAATGCTTGTCATGATTTATTTTACATAGGTTGGCAGTAGTTTTCTTTTGGGTTAGTATCGTCCTTTGTCGACTTTTTAATCGATAAAAATAAAATATCGAACAGAAATTATTAATCTATTGCATAGATTTTATCGCGGGCTTTCAGCACGGCGACCGAATCAAGAAATTCCGTAACGAAATAAACCTAACACACGATGACGTAATATAGATGCGGCCAATACGCGTTAGAGCGGGACATAACGCATACTGCATCTCACATCGGTGTAGCGTGATCGGATAGTCGTGTTAGTCGAGTCTGGTAGAGTGGTAGATTGAATTAATATCAAAGAAAAAAAAATACTGCAAAAAATAAATAAATAATTATATTGCATTAGTTTATAAAAAATGCTATGCAATAGCTTTACCGCGGCAGTCCCCGAGTGCCTAACGTATTTTTTATTTTTTAATACTAGACACTTATCTATGCTTAATGATTTGTATTCTTTTGAAAAACGTTTTCAATTAATTTAAAAAAAAAAGAAGCTGTATGAAAATCAAATAATTTTTTCCTCTTATAAGAGAAAATTGTTAAATATTTTTTCATAAAACATACAGCTTCTTGTACCTTATTTCAATAATGTATGCCTTAGTTGAGATTATTTGGTTAAAAGACAAACAATTTTTTTTTTTAATTTATGTTTCCTTACAAAATCATTGGTCTGTTTGTCAGCTTTTATTTAAATTTCTTTCGCATAAGGGGGCGTCCATAAATTACGTGAGGTGTTTAAGGGGTGGAGGGGGTCGAGTCAAATCTCATTTAACCTTACGTTGGAGAGAGGGGTATATAATATCACGCAATTTTTTTTCTGATTGAAAAAAAAAATATGAAAACTGTTCACCCTAAAGGCCATCTCTGCAACTTTCCGCTAACTCCATACCTAAACGCTCAACATTTCACTTATTTTGTTTTAGTCGTAAATAAAAGCACGAAGCAATTTTTTTTTCTTTTTACACTAACAATCCAACGTGTTTACGTAACAAACCCACATTTTGAAAAATCTCACGTGAGATTGGGGGTTGGGGGAGGGGGTTGAATAAAATCTCACGACATCTCACCAGGGGGGAGGGAGTCACAGAAAATTAAAAAAAACACCTCACGTAATTTATGGACCCCCTAAGTGCTTTGCTCCGTTGAATTTTTTTACAAGATTTTTTAATGAAATCCAGTTTATTTAGGGCTTTCATTTGACCTTTAACATTGAAAGTGTATTGAGAATTATTTATTTCATATGGATTGTTATTGAATGTCATTAGTTCGGCCGAATATTTTGATATCTTTAAAAAAGCTATCATTATAAAATTGACCAAAATTGACATCACACAAAAGTGTAAGTTATAACAGTTTATTTAGATATTTTATGAGATGATGACAGATATAAATACATTTATTAATTTTTTCGTAGTATAAAAGTAACAATGATTTAATTAACATTGTTCAAGTTTAGCTAAACATTTATTAAATATTATAATATGTAAATAATTTGTATTTTTTTAAGCCCTAAGAAAAAAAATAGGCTAGGCCACTCTTATTACTTAGAGGTATAAAAATACTTCACGGTATTCTACCGACCTACCGAAGATACACAAAGCCGTTTCGGAGGAAGTAGGTTACAAGCACTGTAACACGAAAATTTTAAATATTATATTACAAATTAATAGTTATGATTATTGATGACTTAGAGACTATTCTATTATCTGTGCCCCGATCCACGGTAAATTGTTGAGAGTCGAGTGTCGACAGTCTACACTTGATATTTTGGGAACAGTTTGAGAATCGTAGAAATACTGAAAATGTCCATCCCCTACAGTGGAACTTTCAGGAGATCCGGAGGTGTAGTTTCTGCTATTGGAAAACAATTAAAAGCTGTTAATCTAAAAGCTGCCAGGAGAATCACAGTCAAATTTGATCCTTTTAGTGAGAACGTAACTCATACGAGGTACCTACGCACAATTTAAGGGTTAGATGTGCGCCCCAATAATATTAGATTTATTCAGTACACAGTAATATCTTCAAATTTATTATCCTGTGCAAGAATGTCGTTTCCAACTGATGTATAAAAATGGGTCTAATGCATCTTCGTATGGATGTGGTAAAGCTTTGTCATAGCTCATATCTAGGTTTTAATGTTAATATTATTTTTTTTATTTTAGGAATTTCTTGCACTATATTAGTTCACCTAAGATAGCATTGACAAATCCCAATTGTATTTTAAAAACGGAAGTTGTCTGTGATAGAAGTGAACCAACAGTGGATATAAGCATTTTACCATCAATAGCAGGTGCAGTATAAAATGTAATAAATTATCAAATTTATTTATGAAACTTCTAAAATTATTTTAATTATGTACACATTCTTTCAGAATCGGCAAGTTTGAAAAGTGTCACATTAAAGAGTGGTAACTTAACATGTTTGGAGTTGTTAAAACTGCTTAACAAACACATTTCATCATTAGCACCCCCAGAACAAATTATAACACCAACTAAATTAGAGAAAAAGAAAGGAAAGAAAAAATAAACAATTATGTCTAAAAAAGGAAACCTTAATGTTGTAGAAGAACTATATAATCAAATTCCAGCATTTACTGATGTCTTTTCTGAAGATACTTTCTATATATTTGTTGTACTTTTTGTGATGTCTACATTTTTGGTTGCCTTTATTTTATCTAGATTTGTTACTATAAAACCCATAGAAAAATAATTAGTTATGCCATAATATATACAATAAAGAGTGTATTGATTGGTACATATTTTATTTGTACAGTTATTTATTTTAACTAAGATTTTGGAAGCCTTAAAAAAACAATGCATTTGTGTGAATATCTATATTTTATAAAAGTCTTTCATTTATAAAGATAAATATTTGTGACACATACTTCCAAGTTAGAATTCTTGACCTCCCCAACGTATCTGAAATTTGAGAAATTTGTCATTACAAATGCATACAGAGTTTTTTAATGATGAATTGTTATTATCGTTAGAACTAAAGAATAAAATGTTTTTTGGATAAAACAAAACTTCTACAAAAATCCCGAGATGGGGATATTCCACTAATAACTAGTATAAATATTTGATTAACATCCCTCAGGACCTTTAGTAAAACAAACCTTCTGCTAGAAATCAATTATGTCGGTCAGAATGTTTGTTTTGATTGCTTATAACTATTAACCAAAGTATACTAGTACTTGATGAAAGTATAATATTTAATTTCCCAGGAACTTCAAATTAACCCATGTGTAAAAAATGTAATACAGTAGAACTCACATCTGTGCGCACTTTCTGTTTTCTTTCAACCAAGGACGTTAGAGCTTCTGAGCGTACAGAAAGAGAATCGATACGTTCGACAAGCTGCTGGTATGGAGAGAGTGGTTGAGCCCCCATCACCACATGCCCTAATTTCGAATCTATCTTGGCGTCCAAACGCGCGTTACGGATCAGGTTCACGATCCAACATTCGGCTTCATCTGGCTGCATACTCAAGTTCTCTGCTAACATACTGGAATGCAAAAACATATTCATGGTTACATAAATACAATAGACGTATTACTAACCTATCCAGTCTACTAACTAAATAAAGTTCCGAATATCTTCCGAACCTTTTTGCAATCCAAGACTAACACACTTAATTATTTCTAAACAACAAAGTTATACTTACCCTATGCTGATAACTTGATGGATGCGGCAGAAAGTTTCGAAAATCATCAATCTGGCGTTTTCAACGAATTCCTCCAAACAAGCAATGAGGAAGAAATCTGTTGAAAGTACAGCTTGGCACTGATTTAACTTCCTACGAGCTGCTTCAAAATCAAAATTCACATACAGATGTTCAATAAACTCAGTGATGGGATCCCTAAAACAATTTTTAATTAACAATTAATATGTAACGCTAGCAATCAGAATAGAAATAAATTAATTGCATAGTTATATATATATATTACATCAAACTATTTTTATTCATATTTATAATATGCATTATGTTAAAAGTCGAAGAATACCTGTATGTGTAGGCTTCCTGTTGGATGACCTTAACAAGATCCTTCAGAGCATTTCTACGTGAACGATTGATAATGACTGCTGTTGCTAAGTAACGAAGAATGTGAGGACACATGGTTTGAATAGCGTTCAAGTACCTAGAAAGTAGCAATAAATAAATTCAGACTGCACTTCATCTTTTTAGTCAGCATTTTCTGTGACCTTAATTAGTTTTTCAGGAATTCCGTAAACTCACAAGGGTCTGTATAAGAATGTTTCAATAATTAGGTCACGTCCCTTGGCGTGGTTGAAGAACACAAATAGTGACCAGTGGACCAGCCAGGTACGTTGTTGCAATGCTTGCATATTAGTAGCAGTGGCGCCTCCCGCACCATTATCGATGAATTCACGAAGCTTGTTCAAATCATCTAAAGCTCCATCCCAGTTTTGGACTAGAATTTCACTAGCCAACTTCCCCCAAAGTACAGGCAAGTAATTCTAAAAAAAATCATATGTATTACTAAGACATTTGTAATATATTATTTTCTTATAAGAGGTTTCTTTTAAAATGGGAAGGAGTTGGAAATAAAATGTATGGTAAAATTTGACATTTCTAAAAAGTTTTTATATGATAAACTATTTAACTTAAAATGGCATGACATGCATGTCAAATTCACTGTCAAATATTTCAAGAGAATTTCCAACATTTCAATATACTGTAAAAAAAAATTTCAAATGTTGAGCAAATTAATAATTCAGAAAAATGAAGAAGGAATTAATTCAAAATCATTATGTATTGTTTTCGAAAATGATAAATGCACATTTGGTAAGTGGATGGATGGGATTGTGGATTTGAAGAAAAAAGATACAGAAAAATCACAAATGATAGTAAAAAAGGCTTTAGAAGAAGATATTAATCATTTTGATTTAAAGTCCTGTGCAAAAGAAATAAGTTCCAGCTTCAAAGGTATATGTATACCTCAAGAATGGAAAGTTAAACCGGACAAAAAAAATATGTGCCCGAACATAAAAATCTCTTCTACAGGAGACTGCCAGTTGATAAATATATTACCTAAAGATATGCAAGATATCAATCCCCTGGAGTATAGTCTTGAAAGAGTAAAAGAAAACAATGCTAGAATTATGGAAAATATTCATAAACTTAACAGAACCTTAAACTATACCAAGAAAAAGGAAATGTTTGACATTTCATCCACCAAAACCCTGCGATCATATCCCTGTGAAATCTGTGGAACTTCTTTTGTTTACGAAACTGGATTAAGACGACATTATATTATGAGACATGGCACCCTTGAAAAGCAGCCGCGCTGGCAAATAGTTTGGACTTGTACCGAATGTTTTCAAGTTTGGCCTCATCAAGAACTAGCATTAAAACATTCCAAATTTTGTTGTAACACAGAAAACAAAGACTGCATTAGAGAAATAAAAACTTCTCTACTACTACAATGTGAATTTTGTGAAAAAGTCTATACAAGTATACCAAGACTTCTCAAACATTCTAAATCACATTTAACTAATAAAAACTATGAATGTAATGCATGCAAAATATCATTTGATAATTATAAAATAGCTATGCAGCATTGGATTTTGTGTCCTTGGCTGGTAATGTGTTATAAGTTTTCATTGCCAAAAATGTTACTTTGCAATACTTGTGATCGCAAGTTCAAAAGTTATGATCACCTATATAACCACAGGTACCTATGACCAAAGATTGATTTCAAATAAATTTAAGTATTAAAAAAATTATGCTATGATAATGATTTTTAGGTACAAGATGGGTCACTTCATTACTAAATTTTGCAGTGACAAAAATCCAAATTTAATGGTGCATCAATGTGAATCTTGTGGTCAATGTTTTCAAGAAAATTTACAACTTACAACTCATAGACACCAGATTCATGGCTGGTTTCAATCCTCAAGTCCATTATAACTAAGGTATATATTATATAACTATAAAAATTAAATTTAATAATAAATGATATTACTTTTAATAAACAATAACAAAATTATAGCCTGTTCTGATTTTTATTACATCTGGAACAACTATTTAAAAAAATCCCTTTCCAAAACATTAAAAAAAAAATCCACTACAGTTTTTATATGTAAATACAAATAAATATATATATAATTATAATGTTATTGTGAAACAAAGTAGTAAACAGTTAATACCTTTTCTGTAGGGGACATCACCAATTGGCAAAAGTATAGGTATGATGCAGACTCCACATAATTACCACATTCATATCTGTATTTGGCCAAGCGATACATACTGTCGATCATATCAATTTTGAACTGTAATTTAATAACATTATATTACCCTCTTAAGAAGTTGTCAAGTTTGTTCTTTATGCCTCAAAATTAATTTAATAATACACCATAATTTAGTAAGAAAAAAAGTCATTCACAATGAATTGTCTGAAAATGTTACACCAGTGTAAACTCTAAATAATGACTCTCAAGGGACTAAGCCTATTTTGACATTACAAAGAGTTGCTATTAAATGGAAAGAAAAATCTTTATTAGAAAAGAAAGTTTATTTATCATTGTATGGAAATCAAGCTAAACCAACCTAAGCCAAGATATTTGAACATTTTAGGGGGTTAGTCGTTAAATCTAGGGTTGTTACTTAAATTACACTGTACTTAATTTAGCCTTTAAACTGACTGTGCAAATAAATATCCCATATATCAAAAACCTATGTTACCAAGTTACCTCTATGTACAGCTGGTTAGATTAGTTAGTAAGTTGGAAACATAGGTGTCAATACTGACAATACTGAACTTTGATTTGTATAACATTAGTATGATAAAGTACTTACCTCAAACTCCTTATTAGTTGTCAAGTAATTTATAAGAGTTTTAGGATCCCTCATGGTCTCAACTGTCTTCATGACATCATCTCTTTGCATTAACCGAAGCACTGGCTCTACAGCATCTTGTAATTCTTGCAATTGTGACAAAACAACACCTCTGCGTGATTTAATTTCCTGGATTCAGATAAAAACATACAATAATACAAATTACAGGTGTCATACATTCAAAAATTAAATCCCTAAATTACCTCAGGTGTGTCTTCATCAGGATACAACATTTTCCTTATATCAATCACATAATCTATCATGTTGGTTTTACTTAGGATTTCCAACTTAGCCTGTAGTAGCTCAGATTGATCATATGTCTACAAAACAAATTAGATTGCAGTGAATTACAGTTAAGCATCTGGCATGCGTAAATCATAAGACGTCTATTAAGAAATATACCTCTTTTGCTGCTAAGAACTCTAGTAGAGGAAAAACTAGATGCCGATCTAGATATTGACCTATTTTAAAAGTAAGGTCAAACTTGGAGTAACTCATGTTTATTTTTTGTTACTTTATCAACTTATTAACCAAAAACGCTCTCGTGTCCTAAACGTCGAGAGCCGAAAGGCAAGAAATGAAAAAAGTAAAAACAGACTAAAATTATACAACCAAAATTGTGTATTGTCAAACTGAATATTGATTATGACTGTAGACTGTGGATAGCTATGAAATCGAATAAAATCGATTATTATAAGAATTAGCTGTAGATGTAGAGTGTGTGCAGAAAGAAAGCCAGCATGGAGACTAGAGGTTATACGAACTAATATAAATCTTATTTGCTGTGCGTCATTTCATTTATTCACATAAATTATTTACTTATAACTCATTGTATTGAGTATCAGGATGATTACTGTCAAACTTTAATGACATTAACAAATTCAAGTTTAAAAAATACAACCAACCACAAATTGTACTTAAAAGTATCAAAAAGCTATATTTCTTATGTGTATTGATTGGTCTTATACTATCAAGAGTATTTGATACTATATAACAATAATTATTTTATTTTTATACGTATAAGGATTCTACTAGTCTATCTATCTTGGCAGCCGGTGACAAGTCATGTATAAAAAATTGTAGTCAAGTGTGTCAATATTCATGTAAATTTAATTTGATGTTTTTGAATATATTAAGTGATAAAATTTATGTAATTAATTTGTATCATATAACGTATATATATTATTATTTGATCTACTGCTTGAGTCGACAAAAACAGGCTATTAAGTTTCTACGTGTATTTTATGAAATAAACGTCAATATAATATGATGTACCTAATATTGATAAAGATTAAAGATAGACTTCAGAAATTTAAATAACTTTTTGGAAAGAAATCCTCTATATTAACGCTGGAAGTATAATATATAGACAGTAACTTAGAGTTCAGACTCTACAATAATTACTCTGATCCTATACTACAGATATTGTAGGGTTACTACTCTGTAGGCTCTTTGCTTCATTAGTACGTAAAACTTACTGCTTATGTTGGCTAAACTGCGTGTTATGGTGTCGAATGCGTAGTGTGCTTTTGAGAATTCGCGATTTTAAACATTTTAAAATTAGTAATTAGAAACAGTACAGTCGCTCAATACCAAATTTGTTTAATTTGTATTATATTATTTGGTTGATTACTATCGTCAAGATACATTTTGTGTACATTTTACGAATTCCCATATTAAGATGGCGCAAAATGGCGGCTAATGTTTTTATAGATAGACGCGATGCATCTAATAAAGCGAAAATGGGATAAAAAGAGAGTTTATATGCCTTATTAAACGTGTATTATATAGTTTCATCACAATGTCTAACACTGTTATTACAAACTACACGGACTTAAATGGACCATCTACAAAAACTGACAATTCGGTGGTTGTTATTGTAAATAAGGATGGATCTCTATCAGTAGATCAAAAATTACTTGGAACATTAATGGGTAAGATTCAATTCAATTTCGTTGCATGTACTGATGTATACATATATATATTTTGTAAAAATGCAAATTCTAATGGAAATATCAGTAATTGTTCAAATTTCAACTCGGTTCCCATATCTTAATCTCATAGGGTTTAAAGGTATCTTTAAGTTATGGCGTCTATCATTAATTAAATACATAATATCACTTACCTCTTCCTATTATAGCTAACATTTTACATACAAATGTATACAAAATTAATTAATTTGGCTTTTAGCTTCACTGTCAAAAATGTATGCACTTTTTGGCGGGAAAGTAATTAGACGTGTTTAGTAACTGCAGCTAATATGAAGGGTACATGTTATAAATAAATTTGTTTAAAATCAGTCCAGTGTTTGGCTTTCTAATAACAAACTCACAATAAAGTTATACCTCCTTGCTGAGTAAAAGTATGGATGGTCATCAGCTTGTAATAATAAAGTTGTTGATAAGCTAGCTCCCTTAGCAAGTTATATGTATTACATAATTAGTGTATGGACATTATGAAATATTTTCAGGGAGTGATGGTTCCCAAGCAGCAGGTATAAGTGTAGTTCGAGTTGGTCATGAAGGCAGGCCTGATGATGCAACTGACTCTGAAAATGAAGATGATAAAGTTCCACATGTGACCTTATCTGTAGACAGCTACTATGATGAACCAGACAGTATAATTAAATATGGTAATATTATCATCACTTTTAGAATTCAATATATTAAGCTTTAAATTTGACTTTTGCTCCTCTTTCTATAAACAACTAATTGATGGTCAAGTTCAAGATAATTAATGGTTACTTAAGAATGTTTTATCCAAAATAAAAATTACCTTTAGGAGTGCACTAATTATGGTATGTTATGAACATTCTAAGGATATACTGAAATTGTACTGACAAATTTCATGCATATAATATTAATAAAATTCCTAAATATTTTTATGCATTATTTTTATTACTTTGTCAATGAACAACTCTTACATATTACTTACAACACCTATAATTGTGGCACATGCTGTTTTATTGTTAATCTAATGCAGTGTTATTAGGAATACCAAAAACTTTGAATTTAATTATATCAATCACTCTAATTTTTAAGCTAAATTGATGGCCATTACTTAATCAAAATTATTCATATCATATAAATCTATTTCAGATAGTGGAGCTGAAATGTTGCAATCATTACGCATTGAAACAAGAGAAAACAGTCTTATCGGCTTTCATAATGATCATTGTTATACTCCACTTACTTCACCAAGTCAAATATTACCACAGAAGAGTGAATCATTTACAACATTTGATGATCCCATAATTGAAATAACACACCAACCTCCTCCGAAACCAGTGACCACTCCAAAGAAAATTTCAATATTGGATCAAAAAATATTGCCTAAAGGTAAAAAGATAATTCTTACTCCTGCTGAACCCTCTGTGGTCATCAAAGGCAAAGATGCTCTAAATAAATCATTGCCTATCCTATCAAAAGCTAAGACCCTGTCACCAATCGTGAAGAAGTTGGAGCCTGTAAAGTCAGATGACCAAAATGATTCCTCTTCACAAAGTTCGTCCGGCGATAGTGCTCCAGATAGGGACTCTGATTCAGATTATAAAGAATCTAAAGATAGATCATTGCCCCAGAAAATGCGAAAACCTAAAATGAAACCAAGAATTTTAAAAAGTGCTCAGTTGTCTAAAGTAAATAAATTAGAGCCAAAAATAGCATCAAGGTTAAAGGCCAACAAAAATCTACTCAAAAAAGAAATCAAAGAGAAAAATCTAAGCAGGAGTCTTATTTTGCCAAAGAAACAACACGATGCAGAAATTCTAGGTCCTAAAGAAATCATTCCATCTATACCTCCATCACAAACAATAACAGAACAGATGAAAGGCACACCAAAACCAAACCCAAAAGTTATTAAGAGGGAAAAGAAAACCCCCGCTCATGTTTCAGCACTATTATCCGATATGACATCACTGTTTTCCACACCAGATGTCATTAGAAGAGTCTCTACTGAGAATAAATTTCCTGTTAAGGAGACTAGCCCTGTTAACAAAAAACAGAATGAGTGTAGGTCTCTTGAATCCAGCACTGATAGAACTATGGAAGTTGCCAAAGCGCTTGAAAACATGGAAAGTAAAACTCCAAAACCTTTTATAAAGAAGATAGCAAATATCACCGATAAGGTAAAGGCTTATGATCCAATACCTCAACTGGATGATGCAAGTCTGGCTCAGATTCTTCAAGATACGACTACTAACAAAGTAAATCCCAGTATTACTGCTGCTAATGTCATTAACAGTCCAGGATTAGTGGGTCCCCTCTCACCGACCCTAGATCTGTTGGCCGGACTACAGCCAGAGGAAGATGGCTTGACGGAGGACATTCTAATGCATGTGGCACAACTGGTTGAAAGTTCTGAAAATTTACAGGAGGTATTGGACAAACAGGTGCTCGGCAAGGTTGATTCAATACCTAAAGTTCATCAACCAGTTCAGCCATTTAATCCACAGGTGACGCAACCCCTGGCTCAACAAATGCACTTGCAGATGCAATCACAGGTATATCCTCAAAGCCCAACAAAGCCAAAGTGCTTATTGCCTAAGAAGGATCCTATAGAAATTGTGAGAAAGGATGGCAGGGTGATAACTTTGCCACCAATTGAGGCACCAGCAACCAGATCTTCAAAGAGGAAAACCCAAGGAGAGCCAACGGTTGGGCCTGAAGTTCCCTCCCCAATTGTTCAGCAAGTGCCTATGACACCAGAGCCTGTTCTCCATCAAGCACAAGTCTCAAAACAATACAGCAATAAGAAATTGATGAAGAAGATAGATCTACCTGTAACCTCCCCAGTGGTTGATAAATCTGGAGAATCGCAAGAGAGCTGGAATTCTGAAGATGACCCTAATAGGTAAAAATAAAATTAAAATTATTTTAACAACAAGGTTATTGGGAAGTTTAAAAAATTAATTTTATACATTTAAACAATAAGATAATTAGTAAAAATACTAAACTTAAAGATATTGTAGTGAAAAACTCATTGCATATGAAGTTTTGTTGTTAACAATATTAACTCAGACATCCATTTCTGGTAGTTTTTTTTAAACTAATTTGTAAAATCTAAACAAATTCCCAGGCTTTGGTGTATCTGCAAACAGCCACACAATAACCGTTTCATGATATGCTGTGACGGCTGCGAAGATTGGTTCCATGGGAAGTGTGTGAACATCACTAAAGCGATGGGTCAGCAGATGGAAGAACAGGGCATTGAGTGGAGATGTCCCAAGTGTGTCAAGAATACACCCAAGGGAGCCAAGGTATGTTGATAACCTTGACCAACCTCAAATACTTGTCAACGTTATTTATGCTATTCCCCATTGGGAATACGTGGATATCGCTTAAAACTAATGAACCTATTTGAAACTTTGAGCTAAGTTAAATATTTGATGAATTTGTGGACAAACATACATACATACATTTACGAAATTGAACACAGGTGCTGTAATAGATCATTATAGTATCCAATTTCAACAATATCACACAGGTCAAATTGATAAT